AAATTGTAAATCTTATTATAGCAGCACTGCTCAATATATAATATATAAAAATTAAATTTTGAGTAATAAACATACACCTCTAAATATCTACAAAACAAGAATACAAATTTGTTAAATGCCACACAACATCTTGAAAATGCATTGGAGACAATTACAAATTACAGACTGTTTTTTGATGAAGCTAAAAAAGAAGCAGTTGCAGTTGCTGCAAGTGGGGTTCAATTTTATATAATATATTTTTATATTGTAAATTTGTAAATTTTTAAAGATTTTAAAAGCAACACTGCACAACCTAATAACTAAATTTCAGTCAATTTAAAACTATTTTTAGCGCAGAAAAAAAAAACCCTTTTTAATTAAAACTTCAGATATTTATGTCCTAGAAACAAAATTTATAAAAATTTTGTTTATGTTAATCTTGGCCTTAAGATGCTTAAAATAATAATAAAATTTTCAGGTCAGGTCAGGTTTTCCTGCTACTGGTAACATGTAACCCAGTACAACCTGCTCCATGTCCTGCTGCCTTGTAGGATACGCTTTTTTAGGCAAAGGAGAAGTTAACTCCGAATTAAAACACCCCCTGCCTTGGGGCTCTTGGTTGAGTAAAGGCTAGAGATGGTGTCTCGATAAAAATACTCATCTTGGGCAGATGTTACATGCATCCAGCTGCTGTCTTGTAGAAGGCCTCCTAGGCAAAGACTTAAGGGGTAAACAAATTCTATCTGTTGACCAGCCTCGCACCCCTTCCTCATCTATTAGGCTGGCGCAGATGTATTTTTAATACATTGTTTCCAGTTTAGGATGTTGAACGCTGGATCTTCTTGACTCAATGCGTGGGTATTGCTTGTATCTCTATTTTTATGACTGGGCAACTCATTCTATTATCTCCTAATGAGGGTACAGCTCTAAAACTCAGTTTTATGGTTCTGATGCCGGCTGGTAGTCAGGTTTCCCGAACTCTGTGGTAGCTCTCAGAGAGGCTGATTCCATCAACAGCCAAAAAATATCAGAGTACTAACAGTGCCATGTTGCGCATGGACGGTGTCCCTGTTTGTACTTTTGGTGTGCATTACAGAGGCCACATTTGGAGCCCTTTGTTACGGCTTAGGGTTTATTAATAGTAATGAGGCTATTGCTTAGTTGTTAAATAGTGTACTGAGTACTATCTATACTTGAGTCAAGTTCTTTATAAATTTAAAATGACTAAAGTACCTAAAACTAAAAAACACAAAAAACCATCGTCATCACCAAGTTCTCTAAACCTATCATTTACTAATATTCGTGGTCTTTGAAGTAACTTTTCTTCTGTTGAGTCTTATCTCTTGCAAAGTTCACCAGACCTACTTGCTCTTTGTGAGATTAATTTGAGTTCGGCTGTCCCATCTTGTGATCTTAGTGTTGATGGTTATCTTCCTTTAATTCGTAAAGACTCCAATAATCACATGCTTGGCCTGGGCATCTACATTCGTAAGAACTCACCCATTTGTCATGAAACTAGGTTTGAATCTACAGACTATTCATTTATGTGCTTTCGTTTAGCACAACTTCACTCTACCGCCTTTCTCTTTGTTCTATATCGCTCTCCTTCATTCCAAGATTGCACTATTCTTGATGTTATTTCTGATCAAATTGACCAAGCCCTCTCTCTTTATCCATCGGCCAATATCGTCGTTGTTGGTGACTTTAATGCCCATCACACCGATTGGCTTGGCTCTAGTGTCAGTGACTCTGCTGGCGTTAAGGCCCTCAACTTTTGCCTTTCTCAATCTCTAACTCAAATAGTCAACTTTCCAACTCGTTTTCCAGTCAACCCTAATCATTTACCTTCTCTACTCGACTTATGTCTTGTTTTGGATCCTAGTCAGTGCTCAATTTCTCCACATTCACCCTTAGGTACTTCTGATCACGGTTTGATCTCTCTAAAACTATTATCAAATTCTTCTACTTCATCAGAATCCCCCTATCATCGTACCACATACAACTACCTTAAAGCTGACTGGGACTCTTTCCGTGATTTTCTTCGTGATGGCCCTTGGGTAGAAATCTTTCGTCTTCCTGCTGACAAATGTGCTTCTTACATAACTTCGTGGATTCAGGCTGGCATGGAATCTTTTATTCCCTCTCGACGATTCCAGGTCAAGCCTCACTCTTCTCCTTGGTTTTCCTCACATTGTGCTGCTGCAATTTCTAATCGAAACCGTTACTTCCATATCTATCAGCAAAACAATTCTCCAGAAAACAGACATCTGTTCACTATCGCCAGAAACCATTGTAAAAAGGTTTTGTCTGACGCCAAAGCTCGCTATTCCCAGGTCATTAAATCTCGTATCTCATCACAAAAATTGGGCTCTCGAGACTTCTGGAGAATCTTTAACAGTATCAATAATAAGGGCAAATCTGTTATTCCTTCTCTCTTGTATGGTTCAGACTTTGTCACCTCACCTAAAGACAAAGCTGAATTGTTTGCTAAGAACTTTTCATCAATATCATCTCTTGATTCCACTAGTTGCGTTTTACCTGACATAGCCGTCAAACAGGTTGATCCCTTGCTTGACATTCGCATCACTTCAGCTTCTGTATCTAAAGTAATTTCCTGCTTAGACTCTTCAACAGCTTGTGGTCCTGACAACATTCCTGTTGTAGTCTTGCAGAGGTGTTCTCCAGAGCTTTCATCCATACTTTCTAAACTATTTAACAAGTGCTTATCAGAGTCTTGTTTTCCATCATGCTGGAAAGCAGCATCTGTTATCCCTATTTTCAAAAATTCCGGAGAGCGATCTGATTCATCTAACTACCGTCCCATTAGTCTTCTTCCTGTCATAAGCAAGGTTTTTGAATCTTTAATCAACAAACACTTAATCTCTCATCTTGAATCAAATAACTTACTTTCTGATCATCAATATGGATTTCGGTCTTCTCGTTCTACAGCTGATGTGCTAACAGTAATAACCGATAGGTTTTACCGTGCATTAGATAGAGGTGGAGAGGTTAAGGCTATCGCACTTGACATTTCTAAAGCTTTTGATAAAGTTTGGCATGCTGGTCTTCTCCATAAGCTTTCTTCTTATGGTGTAGCTGGTAACGTCTTTAAGATTATTGAGTCCTTTCTTTCCAATCGTAGTATAAAAGTTGTCCTCGATGGACAACACTCTTCTTCACATCCTGTAACTTCAGGGGTTCCTCAAGGTTCAATCCTTGGCCCTATACTCTTTTTAATTTACATTAACAATCTTCCAGATATTCTCACATCTAAGGTGGCATTATTCGCTGACAACACTACCATTTACTCTTGTCATGATAAGAAGCCTACACTCTCTGATTGCTTGGAGGGGGTATCTGAGCTTGAAAAGGATCTCACTTCTGCTACAGCATGGGGCTCACAGTGGCTGGTGAACTTTAATTCAGATAAAACTCAATTTTATTCGGCCAATCGTTATCGTAATAATTTAGATCTTCCTATATTTATGAATGGTAATGTACTAGATGAGTCATCTACCATTCATCTTCTAGGATTAACTCTTACTTCTGATCTTTCTTTTAAACCGTACATCAAATCCATTGCAAAATTAGCATCTGCTAAGGTTGCATCTCTTTATCGAGCTCGACACTTTCTTACTCCAGATTCTATTCTCTATCTCTATAAATCTCAAATCCGTCCCTGTATGGAATACTGTTGCCACATCTGGGGCGGATCTTCTAATGATGCTCTTTCTCTTTTAGACAAGGTGCAAAAACGAATTGTAAACATAGTTGGACCTGCTCTGGCAGCCAATCTCCAACCTTTGTCACATCGTCGTAATGTTGCTTCTCTTTCTCTTTTCTACAAATACTATAATGGGCACTGCTCTAAAGAGCTAGCGTCCCTTGTGCCATCTACTAAAATTCATTCTCGTGTTACTCGCCATTCAATTAAGTCTCATCCTTTTTCTGTGACTGTTCCTAAGTGCTTCAAAAACTCTTATTCTTCTAGTTTTTTTCGAACATCAGTTCTTTGGAATTCGCTTCCTTCATCTTGCTTTCCTGATTCATATAATTTGCAATCTTTTAAGTCATCAGTCAATCGTTATCTTGCTCTACAGATTTAGTCTTTTCTCTTCCAGTAACTTCAAACTCTTATAGTGGTTGCTTGCAGCCTTGTTGGAAGTGAAGATGTTAAAAAAAAAAAAAAAAAAAAATAATCTGTTTTTAGTCATTTTGAGGTCTTCTATTTTCAAAATATGAGGGCAATATAAGGGCAAGGAAAGAGGGATTTTATGATGCTCAAATTTTTTGGGAATTAGTTTAAACATGTTTGGTTCTAATCTAAAAATCTAGATATTTTGGTCTTATTTTGGATATTTTGGTCTTAATATATATATATATATATATATATATATATATATATATATATATATATATATATATATATATATATATATATATATATATATATATATATATATATATGTATATATATATATATATATATATATATATATATATATATATATGTATATATATATATATATATATATATATATATATATATATATATATGTATATATATATATATATATATATATATATATATATATATATATATATATATATATATATATATATATATATAAAGTTTAGTTTTATAATTTGTTGGCTTTGAGAGTTCAAAAAGTAAAAAATGGTTCTTTTGACAACAAATTACATCACTTGTGTATGTGTATATATATATATATATATATATATATATATATATATATATATATATATATATATATATATATATATATATATATATATATATATATATATATATATATATATATACATATATATATATATATATATATATGTATATGTATATACATACACAAGTGATGTAATTTGTTGTCAAAAGAATCATTTTTTACTTTTTGAACTCTCAAAGCTAACAAATTATAAAACTCAACTTTTATAGAACAATTTATAGAACTAAAGCATCTTATGGAAAAGGCTGAAAACATTTATCCTAATACTATGTTTACCTTGCTTGTTGAAGTCAATTGCTGAATTGAACTGTTGTTGCCTTGAATTGTTGTTGTTGCTGTTGTTGTTGTTGTTATTGTTGTTGTTATTGTATTTAGAGTCACGTTTGTTATTGTTGAAGTTGAAGTATTTATATTATTTGAAGCAGAGTTATACATCGATAATAAAAAATTTATTGGTTGTACAGATATTCGATACGAACTTCCATGATAAGTAGGAAGATCTAAATATTAGTTAAAGTTTAAATAAATATAAAAATAAATATAATTTTTTTTTTTTTTAATATAAAATTTTTTGATTTAATAATGATTTAAACTACAAACTGCTGTTAAGTGATGTGCCAAACGCAATTGCAGCATAGATAGGATCCGTAAGTTGATAAAAGTTAGAATTGTCTAGATTTTTTGATCTTTCAAATCTAAATTATAAAATAAAAAAAATTTTCAAAATTTAGGTAGTTTTTTTAAATCTAATTCTTAAAAGATAGATTTAGTCATTAAAACATATTTAGCTATATAAAGGTGCATTTTACAAAAACAGGCACAACGGTTTAATCGTTTATTTATGCAAATCCTATTATGCAGTAATTTCTTCATACCATACATACAGTGGATTGAGGTCAGCTAAGAAATAATAATGTAGTTGATCACTTTATTGTTTTTTAAAATGTCGATTTTAATCCAGACACATTTTTGAAAGTTTAAGAAAAAGAACAATAGAGAAGAATAGTAAAACAAAAGTTTGTCAATATAAATATTTTGTCAATATAAATATTTTGTCAATAAAATATTTTGTCAATATAAATATTTTGTCAATATAAATAATTTGTCAATATAAATATTTTGTCAATATAAATATTTTGTCAATAAAATATTTTGTCAATATAAATATTTTGTCAATAAAATATTTTGTCAATATAAATATTTTGTCAATATAAATAATTTGTCAATATAAATATTTTGTCAATATAAATATTTTGTCAATAAAATATTTTGTCAATATAAATATTTTGTCAATATAAATATTTTGTGAATATAAATGTTTTGTCAATATAAATGTTTTGTCAATATAAATATTTTGTCAATATAAATTACTTTAACCCAAAAACCCATAATTGTTGTATGTACTGAAACATTTGCAGAAACTGTTTCAGCATCAGTAACAATTTATATATAGCTAAATCCATATTATATATTATACACATTATTAGAAGTAAATTATTTAAAATAAACTGGATGGGCTAAGCAAATAGTTCACTTTGATGATTTTTTGCAAGCACAATCAAATTTTTTGATATTTTATAAAAAGATAAGATAAAATAATGGAGAAATTAAAGTAATTTTCATAAATGATAACGTTTTATTGATAGCTCCATACTAATTTGTTTTCTCACAGCTCAATTCACTAAACTTGTTTTATTTAGCTCTACTTTCATAATTGCTTTTATTTACTTTTTTCTTGAGTCAATAAGTTTTTTTACCTTCATGTTAGGTTTAATCTATTTAGACTACCTTCAATAACCTATATTCCTAACACTTTTCCACACCTATTTTTTTGCTAGAGGCAGTCGAGTCAACAGATTTATTTTTTTGCTAGAGGCAGTCAAGTCAACAGATTTGTTAACACTTTTTTTTCAAAGAAAAAAAATTTTTCATTTTATAATACCGCCTTACTCAAGCATCCTTGTTTTCTTAAAAATTATTGAGACAAACTTTTTTTTATATAACATAGTATTAACTTTTATGAATTCTATTTTAGTACATTTTTTATTATTGTTTTCTTAAAACAATTGATTACATCATGACATTATCATAAATTTTTTTAATGTAAAGTTCATTTGCATTTTTGTTCTTTGTAAAGAAAAATGTTATTTAAAATTAAAAAGTTTTAATATTCCAATAAAATAATTCCAGGTGGAGAGAAGCTTTTACTAAAAACTTACCGGTAAATCAGTAAAATTATTTTACCAATTAAATGGTAAAAAAAAGGTTTTTTTAATTACATATGTAATCCCCACTCATATATTGTAAAAGTACCTATAGCTTTTACAATATTGTAGATATTGTAAAAGCTATAGGTAGATTATAATCATGTCATGTCAAATGGAGCAATGGTCTCTTATATACTATCCATGGTTTTATTTTTATGCATATTTTTATTTCATATATTTGTGCACATTATGCACAATATATGAGAGAAGAGCATGTCTTAAACTAATAGATCAACATCTAAAGTAGTTTTTGAGAAAACACTATTTAAATAGTGCATTATTTTGCATAAAATTTTCCCTCTTCATTTTTTCATCTTGGCTTTTAACAGCTATAACTTTTAAACAAATTGATTAAACTTTTATAACACAGTTAGCGGCTAGTTATTGTTATTACTTAGTAAGTGTTATTACTTTTGTAGTTGTAAGTTTATTGTTAAGTTTTTGTTTTTTACAACTTTTTTGTTAACAAATTTAAACACGTTAATTTGCCCAATGAAAACAAAGTACGATGTTTTGCATAAAGAGAAAATTTTGAAGACCAGATAATTTTCCAGATACTGCAATTTGTAATTGGTTAATTCAACCCTTGGAATAAATACACTCATATCAATAGGAAAACCCTGCAATTTATGCAAGCAACTCATGACCTAACTAAAACTTTTGTTTGATTGTATTGTAAAATTTTTTGTATTGCACCCAAATTGCTGTCATACACCTTTAGTTGTTCAAATACAAAATGACCTTAATACCTACATGCGTCAATAGGGTTATTAAGTTATGAGTGACATAAGTTAAGATTGCATATAAAACAATACAACTTAAAGTATATTGCATCCATCACACAATGGAGAAGAGTTTAAATGTAATCAAAGTAACTTGCAATATCAGTGGAAGTAGCATTATGTGGAAGTAGCTTTCCAGAAAATTAACTTGTTTATCTTTAAAAAGACATCTACAAAAATATTGAATAACATTTGACCATCAGTCATGTGCTATCTCTAGAAAACGGTTATATCCTCTATAACGATTAGTCTTCACTCTATTATTATTTTCTTTATATAAAGTTTTTAAGATTATTAAGTCACTTCTTTCTAACTGCAGTAGTAAAGTTATTTTTGAAGGCTTACACTCTACTTCTTCAAGTAACTTTAAAGGTACCACAAGGTTTTATCTTTGCTTCTGTATTGTTTTTATTTACAATAACAATCTTTATGAAAACTTTACATCTAAAGTGGCTCTATTTGTTGATAACTCAACTTTATACTCTTGTCTTGACAAAAAGCCTTCTTTTTTCGATTGCTTAAAACAAGCAGACAAAGACTAAAAGAACATTGTAAATGTAATTAGATCTGCTTTTGATTTCTGCTTAGATTTGCCAAACTTGAGCCACTCTCCCATTGTTGTAAGGTTGCATTTTTTTCTTTTTCTACAAATACTATCATGGTCAATGCTCAAACGAGCTACCATCTCTACTTACGAAAACCAAAACTCATTCTTGCTTTGCTTCTTATTCAACAAGTTGCTTCCTTTTATTCTATCCCTTCATGCTATAAAAACTTTTAATAATCCAGTTTTTTTTTTGCTTGCACATCAAAAAAACCTTATAACTCCTACCCATCTTCATATTATCTTTTTTTTTATACAACCTACAACTTTTCAAGTCTTCAGTTAACCGTTTCCTAGCTTTCCGTTAACCCCTTTTTAACCCTATCCTCTATTTTAAAGTAAATCAACTTAAAAGTGGTTGCTTACAACCTTGTTGGAAGTAAATTCAAATTTAAAAATATATGCACATATTTAATAAATAGTATTTGTAAGTATAAAATTATAATATATAAAGTATTCTAAACTTTTTTCTAGCCCCAGCTATCATCCCCAGCTAAATCTTAAATTTTGTCTGGGCAAGGGTCGGGTTTTCAAAAAGTCTCATTTTTAGTTGGGTGCTGCGGCTCGGTTCACTTACTAAAGCCCAGAAGTATTTCTTTTAAGATATCAACAAACACCATATGAGTACAAAAGTCATAAAATAAAAAAATCATTCATGATTCATAAACATTGCTTTACTCAATTTTTTTAAAGACAATTTCCAAGTGTTAAAAGAACGGATAAACTCACTAAAATTAAATGTTGTATCATACTCCAACAATTGTATATGCATTTTTTCTTGCTTTAATATAAGTTTATTCTATTAAAGTAAAAAAAGCAACAAGTAAGTTGGAAGACTTGTGTATCAGTCAAAAAAAATACAGAAGATCAAAGGCAATAAACATGTTAGTTAGCAATGCTGTTGTTGGATAACTTTTGACTTTTGGTTACCTATTCTCTAACATTTTGAGCTTGCCTAATATTTCTAGGAAAGCATTGACATTTTTTGTACTTGTTACTAATTTTTTATACACAACTGAGAGTTTTTGCTCTTTTACTTCATTGGCAAGACATGCCAGTACAGAGGGTGCTGTTTGCTCATTTGACTTATTGTAGATTTTTTAAAATTATTTTCATGTGGAAACAATAAGGTAATAGGTTAAAACACACAGGTAAATAGAAAATTTGATTGCAACAAAATAAGTAAAAAAGGAGCTAAAGGAAGATCCAGTTGAAGTATGCCATTTGAACTTTTGCTTGTATATGAAAAGTGTTCTCCTAAAAAGTCAATTGCTCCTATTACTAAATCAAGCTTAGTTAAACTCACTAAAATTACTAAAGCCACCAAAAAGTCCACCATTCAACTACCTAATCATCTACAAAAAAAAAAACTTATGTTTTATAAAATAACTAACACAACAATAAAAAATAATACCAAATTATTATTAAAATCGTGGTTCTAATACATAGTTTTTATCAACATTTGCAAAACATTCATGTACCCCGTCAATACTTAACATTTCTTTAGCTAAATTTTATAGTTGTACTCTGAATAAATTTTCTTACTTTATTGGTTTCAGTACTTCCTGGATAATGACTACATTTTTATATTTTTTATAGACTTTGTGTGTTTTAGATAAAATGCACCCACATATTGGCTTCAGTATCTATATTGTCGCTAACTAGATAATGCAATTAAAACTTTTGAATTTTAAAATACAGACATTCTGAAGTAAAAAAAAAATTATTTATTACTTAAAGTTCTTTTTACTAATTCATTCTTAATTGAAGATTTTTAGCTGAGCTGGGTTTTAGGTACCTGGGTTAGATGGATTTAAGATAACTGGCTGGGTTGGCTTTTAGATATCTATGTGGGCTGTCTTTTAAGTAAAACCAACAAAAGTATCTATTTTAGTCTGCCATTATGGAATATGTTTTTGTTGTAAAAAATATCTATAGCATATTTATTATATTACAAAAATGACTTATAATGATATACTTGAACTTTTTTTCACAATCACTAATTAGTATTATATCTTATAAGACAAAAACCAATTATTGTTGAACTCTACATAAAGTTTATTTCTTACCTACAAAAAAAAGACCCATCAGGCATTTCTTTTGATTCCAACAAAGCTATATCACTCCCCTAAATGTTAAGAATAATTCTATATAATTTGTTCTTAAAACTTTCATAATAGTTTAAACTATTCTTAATATTGCAAAATTGGGTATTGAATAAATATTGATAAATATATAAATTGAAGGTTGTTAAAACAATAATTAAACTTTACATTTTCCTTGTTGTAAAGAAATGGTCTAAATTTTGAAAATCAAGAGAAAATCTGTTAATAACGTTTGATCTTGTTTATTTTTAAGTGTATACCTGTGGAACAAATTGTGGTCTGGTGTTTTTTGTGATTGAATTTCCATTAAAATTTCCTAACAAAATATTTTCAGATCGCACACAGTATTGTCCCCGAATAGTAACCTAAAAGCAAAAGTTTTATTTATGTGTAAAATGTATAAAACTATTAAAATATATGTATAAAGTGTATAAAATAATTACTATTTATCATAAAATGACTAAATTATTTTATACTTAATTTACAATCAATTTAACTCTTTATTTAATTTATAACTTAATAAAGGAACAATCTTACCATGAATGGACCTGAGTTTGAATTTCTTTGTCCAAATGCAACCCAATTAATATCTTTACTTCCCCATAACACAAAAATTACTTTGTCTTGTATTTTATCATATTGATATGTGGCTACAGCATTGCAATCATTGGCTGTACAATCTTCTTCATCACGAAAACATGCCACATTGTTATTTTCACATATGGAAAGATCTAACTAATTGTAAATTAATAAATTTAAAACCATATTCTTATATTTTATTTTAATGAACAAATCTTTTTCTTCATACTATTGTAAAATTATACTTAATAGTTTTAGAACAATACTTTTTTCATTTTACACTAAGTTCATAATTTTTACTTTTGCTGCTGTGTTGTAATTATGATAGATATAAACATAGTTAATATGCTCTACTAAACAAAAGACATAGGTCCTATATTATCCTAACTATGACCTACTGCTTTAGGCGCATGATTTAAAGTCTAATAAAGTCCATCTTCATTTCATCACATTTTTTATTCTTTATTATGAAAGAGTTTAATATATATATTAAACTCTTTCATAATATATATATATATATATATATATATATATATATATATATATATATATATATATATATATATATATATATATATATATATATATATATATATATATATGTATATATATATAGATATATCTTCCGGACAAAAAAAATGAGACCAAGTTTTTTAAGTTTTATTTTCAAAATAATAAATGAATGATAAAATTGTTCCATAGAAAATAAAGAGTAAAGCCTAATTTTTAAAATAATATATTGATCAATATCACGTGTCCTTGGACTTCTATGCATTTTTGAACACGACGGTTCATACCAGGGGTGTGGAGCCGTTATAAAAAAAGTAATAACTCTGATTCCCACTCCAGTTGTTGAAATCAAGGACATTATTACAGTGCCTTTGATTATAAGCAATGATTTTTTACCTTTGGAACTAATCGCCCCCTAAACCGTGAGACTCTGCTTGAACTTTGGTTTGCCAATTCTTGGTCGTTTCTTTGCCCATCAACCTTTTTGAGTTCAAAATAACTCGAAACGACTCTCGTCACTAAATACCTATTTATTCCATCTTGTTTTTAGGTGTTCTTCACACCATTTTACCCTATTTTCTTGTTAAACAGTAGTCAATGGGGGTTGATTTTTGAGAACAGAACTGAAGTACACACTTCAGTTAAAATAACGAGTAATGGTTCTGGGAGCAACCTTGGGACTACCTTTTTTGACTAATTCAATTTGAATATCTCGGACGAATCGTGTGTCATCTTTTCGAGCAAAGTGAATCAATCGTTGTTGGTCCTTTAAATTAAGTTTTCTTGGTCTACCACTTCCTTTCTTTCTCTCCAAGCTCATTACTTTCCTCATTTTCTTTAAATATCTTGCAACTGTTGCCTAAGGTATCCTAGTTAATTTCATCAAAGACTTTAGGTCTTTATGACCCGCTTTAAAAAGATAGTCAAGTGACAACGGTGACAACTTCATTTCTAAAATAAATATATTTAGGTGAATCAGAAATAATAATAAACACATAGATTTTTTTATGAATATATATGCACCTGATAAATCAAACAATGGTATTCATGAAATACAAAAAAAGTCATTGTATGACTCAAAATGACCAAAAATGACCAAAAATTGTAAAAATACAAACAAATGTTTTGCATACGCAGTCTCATTTTTTTTGTCTGGAAGGTATATATATATATACATGGCTTTTATGTAAAACAACCATTTTTACAGGAACCAAACATGTCTAAAAACTATAAATGTTAAAAAATAAACTATTTACATTTCATTGTATATGAAAATAAGCAGGAAAATATTATACACCAACACTAAATTTAAACATTCATTAATTATAATTCACCCTAGTTTATGTTTCATAATGAATTATATGTAAAAAACGAAAATTAAAGAAAGATAGAATGGGGAAGAGTTGCATATTTAATATATTCACATTATAATTTTATAGTCTAATTAAGGTACTCCTATATGAACTAATTGATTTTTCTAAAAAAAAGTTGAATATTGCTGATGTCTACTCATCAGCCATACATTTAAATCTAGAAGTAAAAAACTGTTTAGAAATACTATTAAAAAACTTGTTAAAAATACAAATAAAAAACATTGGATTAAGTTATGACATATAATATACAAAAAATATCTTTACTAATCACCAGTATCAAATTGGGAAAGAAAGAATCTGTACGTCTACATTTAGAAATAGTCTCACTTCTTTTTTTAAATATGTTAGTATTTTAAGTTAAGATAGGATTTCATATTTTTTGGTAAGATATAACTTAAAAGATTTAGCTAATGATTTGTATGCTTCACAACATCCGAGAACTTTCCACTTAACTAAAGGATTTAAATTAGCTTCTTTCAACTTCCATACTTGCTTTGAAACTCAGTATCATTGCTTATTTATTGATCTATTTTGTGATTATTTCATTTAATATTGATCATTCTCAAATTGAAGAGTTGTTTATTACTAGACAATCAATAACAACATTTTGATTATAGGATGACAGACCACTGCAATTATTTATAAAGAATGTTTATTTATGTAACATGGTGTTAGATCAGAAGTGAAGTGGAGCACTACAGCGATAATTATTCATTTGGGAAGTTAATCCCTTTTTTTAAACAAACCCCAACTCATTACACCTGGAGAAAATATCCACATCCTTTCTATCAATACAACCCCCATTTATTTAAAATAATTTATAATGGAAAACATATTGTACCATCATATAAAACTCAAAAGTATGGTAAGAATTCTGTTGTGTATCTGTGAATGGAACAAGAGCCTTGTGTGAATGAGTTCAATAAACTCCAACTCCAAACTCCTTTTTCATCTATTCTTAATCTTAATCAAAATCAATTTAAAAAAATTCTGAAAAATATTTTGTTATAATTTTTTTGCATTACTATAATAATTATCCTTATTTTTTGTTTGTTTTTCTTTTCTCTTTTATTATTACCTACATATATGATTTTTAAAAAGTTTACTTTATGTGTGTCTATGTTTTATACTTTATGTCTATATGTTTATTATTAGTCATATTATTTTGAAAAATGATGTCACTCCTTTGATCAGACTTCTGTATGAGTGACACCATCCATACTAATCATTAGTTTATTATAATAAGAAATAACATATCATTTTACTTATTATTATAGTAATTGTTATTATTTATATTATTTTATAACTATTGCTATTATTATTTACCTTATTATTGTAAAAATGATTTTAAAATGGAAAATAAATAGCTTGTTGTTGTTGTTTTTGTTATTTTCTACCTAGTTAAACTTTTTAATATATTTAGGCTAGTCAAACTTCATAAGTTATTGATTATTTTTATAAAGAATTTTTCAAACTTTTATCATGGTATCTAACAAAATGGAGCATTTTAATCAACAAGGCCACATTACTACAGTTCCATGATTAAAAACCTGTTTCATTGGAGCATAAGAGATACACTGACAAGACTACGGTCACAGTCTTGGTCGTGTTACAGTTACATGTTAGTAAAGGAGGAGTCTCAATGTTCATCGCCCAGAACAAGGAATTATTTTCCTCATATATCTTGAGGTAGTGATCAAATTACTAATTTAGCTTCAATGATAAAGTAATACCAATAATACCCGCATAACTTAGAGGGAGGTGGAAATTTCACATGATTCACATGATCACATTTCAAGTTTCTAATTTCACATTAATACTAATTGATAAGATGAAATTTAAAACCTGTTATTGTAATTAAATTTATTTAATTGACAAAAATTATTTTAATAACGCATTGTTCTCGTGTAGGAGTAGGGGTAGTGAACTTTTAGGTGGGAGACTGAATTTCATGGGCGAAGCAGTTGCAAAAACTGGCATAAGTTTGTGGCAAAAAAATCATTTTAGGTCGAGAGATTGCTTTTGCATTTATCTTATATTTTTTAACTAATCTTAATTAGGGTGTATATAATTGCACAAAAAGAAGTAAAACTGGTAAAGATATATTATTTCACGGATAAGAATTTGTATTTATTACAATAGTAATTAATAAATAGTTTTAAAGAATTGACATAGTAATTACAGTTTTAATGGTCTAAGGTGCAAACTGGTATAAATGCGAAGCACGCAAAAACTTTTCTTTTGTTTTTGTTTTTTTGTTGTTGTTTTTTTGTTGTTGTTTTTTTTTTGTTTGGTTTGTTTATATTATAACAGGACCGACTACACAAGGGGGGCCGGGGGCCGTGTCCCCCCACTTTTTTTCTAAAGGACCTTTTTTTTTTATTAAAGGAAAATCTAGATAGGAAGGACTTTTTTCACAAATTGATGATTGTGCCCCCCCCCCCTTCGAAACCCGTGTCGTTGGCCCTGTATAAACAATGTAAAAGAACAGTAACACTTTGAAAATATAAATTAATTAGGCAGTTTTGACAGTTTTGGCATAGGCAGTAGGCATAGGCAGTTTTGAGATGAAATTTTTCATTTGTCAATGGAATTAAATGCGGCTCCGTCTGAACATCAGTACAAACTTTATTTAGGCAAACAGTTAAAAAATCTCTATTATCATCTCTATTATCACGTCTGTTGCACACAAAGCCACTTTTTTTCATGACATTGAGTTTAGCTCGTCGAATTTTTTTAAACAAACACAGTAGGCAAGTTAGCAAGTGGCGCATTGTATCTCAATCTAATTGCGTCTCTAAACTCTTTCTTATTCTGATCTAGATTTTGTTCTTTAATTGGTAAAGTGTTTAACCAGCTGCTAAGACTGTCAAAAATCGCAAAAATGCTTGCCCGGGTACCCGTTGAACGAACGGGCGGGTACCCGTTAAAAACATTATTTTTTATCAAAGTTGTACTTATAAAAAAAAAAAGCAATAAAAACATCTCAATCAATGATATCATTCATTTTTACTTAAATCTAAACTTTATTTTACATTAAGTGTCCAAGTTACAAAACTACTAGTTGCTCGCTTTGGCATTGGCTCTTCTCTACTACTTCTATAATTTTTTCCGATACTGGCATAACAATAGCTTCCATTTCATCTCTAATGGGGGAGTATGTTTCATTTCGAATAGTTTCTTCGAAAATTTTTAGAAGCTTATAACGTGGATTTAATACAGATGCTTTTGGTCCAAGTAGTAAACTGAATCCTTCCGGATAATATCGCTTTG